GAAAGCGGTAAGAGGACCATAAATATTAACCGGAATGCAGAAAATAGGGAAACTGAAAAATATGTAACAATATCACAATCTGAAAACTCTGTTTATTTTGGCAAACATGTTTTCGGCAACTCTTCATCAGCCCAGTAACGTTGCAGAATAATTCAAGCTTAAACGTGTAGGAAAATCAATAATTGTCTGACGTGGGCGCCGCTTGGCCACTGCAGACTATGTCAATCTGCGCAAGTAGGCACGTGGATGTGGCCTTCAACAGGAGTCGTTCTTTACCTCCCAATCGTAGGAGGGGAGAGTTTGTGGAGAACACGCGTAAGTTCGCCGTAGGGAAAGCGCTTGCGATTGCAATCCTCAAGTACCATCTGACCAGCTCGCTTGTTGCATTGTTGCTTCTTGGTGCGTTCGCCAATATTCCCGAGGATGAAACTTTTTGGGTATCCGTTTTCATAAAGCCTTTTCTGTAGCTGTTGGAATTCTCGAATGAGAGAGAATATTCGCATTCCAGGTATTCTATTGGTAAAGAAGACAAATGATCGAGCACTGGAACGGGATGTATTTTTTCCTGAGCTTTCGAGCTCTTGCAGGAGCTCATCGTTGGAATTCTGCTTCGATCTCGCCTACTTGCGCGGACTGACATAGGCCGCAGAGACCAATCGGCGCCCACGTCAGACAATTACTGATTTTCCCACACGTTTAAACTTTAATTGTTCTGCATCGTTACGGGCCTGATGAAGACTTGCCGAAAACATTTTTGCCAAAATAAACTGATTTTTCAAAGTAAACATGGGAATATTTACAGAATATCACAATCAGTTATCACCATAGCAGACCTTCTGTGTGTGACTTGAAACGGCAATCATCTTCCCAAATAGAATCCGTATGTAACATGTACTACTCACACGACTAAAATGCTCAACTACCTCTTCTAGTGCAGCGTTGGATACATATCCGTGCTCATCGAACAGATAGCCAATCAACGAACAGCACGGGCGCCTAATAGGAAAACGTTGCGGCTCGCAAATTTGCCAAGCAAGTTCACCGCTCTTGTACCACCAGCACACTGGATCACGGAACTGTAAGAAGCGTGTACGAACGAACGACTTTCCCCTCTAATATATGTAAACTTAGAGATTTAGTCTTCTGTACCTTGCGCCTTGCTTGACTATGAAACGTTGAGGAGTTTCAAGGACATCGTGCAGTTTTTAGTCCTTAACGAAAGGAATGACACAAAGCCCAATTCATCTAATTACCAGGGAGCTGCGTGTCATTACAAAATCGGGATTCTTCTGTCCTGTGAGTCATCCTGACAGCTTGATGGCCTGTTCCTTGGAGGTTCTGTTGAGAAAAACGCATAAAGTTAACAATAGAGCATCAATTTGCCACAGATGCAAGCAAAATGAAATTTCGTGATGGTGGGGATTAACACCGCTTAAACGTGATGGCGGATTTAAGTGCCATGCGCAGATTTACGAAGGGCAGGCAGTGAACGAGGAAAAGTCGATCAGTCCACGGCCGACAGGTACAGCCACACATTTAAATTGCTGATCCCTTGTGGAAGTTTACGTTTTGACAAGCATAAGGGTTTCTAAAACAAAATTTGATCAAACTGCCGCAGATTCACATTGCCGCACTTTTTTTTCTAAAAAGGTGCCCTTCGCGTAAAAATTCAATTTCATCCGGTGTATGATAGACTGCCCGCGGAAATAACCAGACCAATTAATGAAGGAATATGCTTCGGACGGATAGCATTGCCGGCAAAGACCAGGGAGATTGGAGTGACCATTTCTGGCCATTTAACCGTCATCAGCCAGCCA